GCTATCGCGTCTACATCCCTCGTGGTCTACTAAGCAACTGATGTTCGTCATCTCCCGAGCTGACGTCAATCCCTACCTTCGCGTGACCATGGTAAATTTGTCTTGCTAAAAGGGAGATATTTATCTGGTCGGTCAAGGTAAACAAGCTGACATAGCACGCAGTTTAGATAGATAGATAGATAGATAGATAGATAATGAACAGAAAGGTATATATTGATAAACAGAATTAGATAGATAGATAGATAGATAGATAGATATGATACAACTATCTATTGTGCTTAGCAAATTTAGGATATCCGAAGTTGATACTAAACTCTACTATTCATTAATAAGGATCTGCAAGTTCAGTTTTGTAACCGTTACTAAACGACTAAACGCTTATTATAATAGAAATTGTAAGTCGATTAATGATTATAGAGGCACGTGCAGCAATGGATAGCGGCTCGGATTGTGGAACTTACGTGCTAATACACTTGGGAAAGGTTTGAACTCTCTTCTTCTCTCCCCAGCTATGGGTAAATAGCAGGACAGACCGGGTTCTATAGCCTTGGATGGCAAATAGTCTACTCATATAGACCATATATTCCTAATGGACTAATGGATAGCGCCTTGGGTTGAGGAATCGGAGAGATGAGTTCGAATTCCAGTCGAATCAATTACATTTAGTTACGTACTAATACCCTTGGGAAAGGTATGAAGACTCTTCTTCACCTCCCCCGGCTATGGATAAATAGCAGGACAGACCGGGTTGTATAGACTTGAATGGCAACAGGTCTACCTCAGAAAGAAATGGAAATTCCTATGGTAAAAAATCTGCCTCGTCTGCCTATCGAGAGATTCATGATCGCCTAAGCCTGTATCACACATGGCACATAACTGACTGAATGATTATCCGTCTGGCTAGACCAAGGGTCGGCAACCTACGGCGAAGGCATTTTGACCGGCCCGCGAGCCTGATTACCAATGACTCTATTTTTAACATGAGAGACGAGGCTTTCGAATTAGACCATCTGCCAGTTATCTTTCATGATACTTATTTTACCAAGGTGCATTGCCTACATTTAATGTCAAATAATGGATACATATTTGTTATGACCCTTGGCTACATTAAAAGATAACAGAAGCGAAAGGAACAATAAAGTGAAAGAGGCCAGGGAGGGACTGACATGCGACGTAGCAGAAATCTAAAGACAGTTAAACATACGCGCAGTATACATACATGCCTCATGAATGTGTGGATGATACCACATGTGTACGTACATAAGTGTATATGTTTGCAACTATTTGTACTTGTATGTATGGGTATATGTGCTTCGTTTTTGTTTGATGTGTGTGTGTGTGTGTGTGTGTGTGTGTGTGTGTGTGTGTGTGTGTGTGTGTGGTTCGTTTGTAGAACAATTTTCAATAACAGTTTCAAACCTACACGTCATAATTTCATCCATTTCACTTTCGTTGATTTATTTTCACTTTGAAGTATTTTGACGTTCCTTGCGGAAAAGTAATTTTTGTTAGGTGTTTTTTTAATTTTAGATTTTAGATTGACAGGGGTCTGCATATGTAATTTTCCTTAAGTTTTCATTAATGGCCTTCGTCCGGCCCGCGACCCGTCATTATAACACGATCCGTCCCGCGCGAGCTAGACCAACAGAGGCCAGATACTAGTATTACTACTACTACTACTACTACTACTACTACAAACTACTTATCCATTCATTAAGCGCATCTCTTATATCAGGGTAAGTGTTAGAAATTGGAAACAAATATTAAATGTGACTTCAATGATTATATAGAAAAGCAGCGAGAAATTCATTTGTCATCTTGTAATTATGCCCAGATTAAAGAAGGTGCCAATTGCCGGAAAATTAATAACTAAATACCGATTCATGACATTCCAACAAACAATTTTCTGTGTTGATAAGTATGATATATCTAAGTATCTTTGTACAAATTAAAACAAATGAATGAAAATTCAGCTGTATTTTCTCAATGAAACAAGAGTCCTTGAAATAATAGTGAATACATGTCTTGTTTATGAGTACAAAATAACAGGGAATCTTTTAAAAAGACCAATTTTTATTTAATCATTATTTTCAACAGAAGGCATCGGATATCATTAGTTTGCCATTAGGTATGTTAAAAATGTGTCAATATAGCAATTGAAGTCTTGACAAAATGGAGTCCCACGTTGTGGATGCTAAGAAAATAAGATCAGCAAGTCATTGGGGGTTTTAAATGGTTGTTTTTCAATGAAGAGATTTACCCATTTAGTGGATAAAATTGCTCATTTTTTTTTTATTCTTAAGTTCAAATTTAAAATTTTGTTACTATTTTTTTTTTAATTTGCGGAAATTTCTCCAAGATTGTCTAGTTCACGTGACCGGAAAGAGATCTGCATAAAAAAAGAGCAGAGCTTTAAAAAATCGGGGAACAGAAGAGAAGATGATGGAAGGGAGTCACGATCTTCTTAAAAACCTGTATCAGGCGACAGAATGAAACTTTAACGTCAGTGTTTTGACACCAAAAATTATCAATCATTTAGATTTCTAATGAAACTGTTCAGATATTAAATACCGTCTATCGGATCATGACGCTTTATGAAATTCTGAATTGACATTTCGTTACCATAAGACATTTTACCATGGTGAACTAAAATGGAGAAAATTTGCCTGGTTTATCTGTCAAAGCGTTTAGTCTCTTCTATTGTCATTCTAGCTACAGATTTAACTAATAGGAAGACTGTGTGCACCGATTTCCATATTTTGGAAAGGCAGTCAAACTTGACACAAAACCCAACTTGTGGAGTGTATTCCCTAGCAACACTAACACGTTGCCATATGTAATTTTTTTTCTATGTCTGTGAATTCTCTAAGCTTTACGACGAGGATTATATGTGAAGTAATTATGATTTTGGAGTAGTCTAAAAGTTCCTCCACTGCATTTGTCTTCGCATAAATATTAATGGCTTCAAATTTAAGTGCTTGAATCGATAATTATTCAGAATTTTATTTTGTCATGGTGTAAATATCTCCCCACCACACACTTACACACACAGAGTGAAGAGCAAAATTATTAGATATACGTAAAATATGAAAAAAAAATTATGGTGGTTACTCTAAGTCTAGCTATAAAATATTTGGTGAACCAAACAAAATTTAATACAAAAGAAAATATGGACCTGTCAGTGCTCAGTAACTACATCGTGCGAGATTAAAATGCTAACGATTTATCTACGGATTTTGAGGCAAGGATTTGCTATAGTGGCGGAAAAGTCACCAAAGATTTACAACTCTGACAATCTGGCTAAGAATATGCCGACTACATCTCTTGAAGAGGAATGAGACCCACCATCACCTTTTGGTGGTGGTGGTGGGTCATATTCTAACCTACGAAGTCAATACTTGCAATAGGCTCAAATATAAACTCACAAGATTTCCAAACAAAATAATTAATTTTTTTTTCTTACTGTGATGTTCACTTTTTACAAGGCACGGGGTTACGTTAGGAAGCCATTTACGCTTTATAACAAAATGACCAGCAATACATTTTATAGAAGAATTATCAACAAAATATTTTATAATAAAAAGACCAACAATACATTTTATAGTAAAGTGATAATCAGTACATTTTTATAGTAAAAGGATCAATCAATACACTTTATAGTAAAAAGATCAATCAATACATTTTTATAGTAAAAGAATCAATCAATACATTTTATAATAAAATTACCAAAAATACATTTTATAATAAAATGACGAACAATACATTTTATAGTAAAGTCACAATCAATACATTTTTATAGTAAAAGGATCAATCAATACATTTTTATAGTAAAAGGATCAATCACTCAATACATATTATAGTAAAAGGATCAATCAATACATTTTATAGTAAAAGGATCAATCAATACATTTTATAGTAAAAGGATCAATCACTCAATACATTTTATAGTAAAAGGATCAATCAATACATTTTTATAGTAAATGGCAATCAATGGATTATATAGTAAAATTGAAGACATGACATACATTGCCAAAAAATAAAACAAAAAAAATGGTATGATTAATTTTATTTCTTGTAAGAAGAAAAAAGTTTACACTCCTTGTTTGATTTTATAAGATTATTTGGTAAACAAATGCTGCTAAGTATTTATAATGCAGGTCAGTAATTACAACTTAATCATGAAATAATGCCATTCTCTTGAAGTAATTATAAAGTTTGAATTTTCATATTTAGATTTCAGCATTAGATGACCCATAGAGCTGTTGATGTGCTGCTAAACAAAAACAACCAACCTAAAAAATTTAACTAGAAAATAAAATAATAATAGAAGTGATATGACATTCCACAGTAACTTAAACAAACGTCCAGGGGGGGGCGCCCATGAGTAATAGAAAGCGCGATAACAGTAAATTTAAGAAAATGTAATTTCCTGAAAAAAAAACTGTTTTAATGTGATTTTATAGATATTATAGATTTCAAAAGATACTAACACCAACTATTTAGTCAAATAATACTGAATGTTTCTAATATAAAAACAACTAATTTTACCATTACCAAATGAGGATTGAACTCACGACACATTAGTAATTGATCGTTATTTCTAATTTGTTAACTCGACAGCTAAGTGTCCCTATATTTATTGCATATAACAATCCGTTATGAGAGACAAAATTACGGAATAGTTTCCTGTGTTGAAATTTATTTTCAGGTGTGTGTATATGCCCGTTTGACTATAGGAAACATCTCATAGAAACAACGTTTGTTTAATTATATGGACAGGTATATAATTATTGGAGCTTGCCATCAGATTTAGTTACGAGAAAATGACATCTTTTCCTTTACATAACGAAGAAAACATTCTTTGAAGTCAGAAAATGAAGGTCGTAATTCTCGTGGACATTAGGCTTCCGTAAGTTTCGTCATTCTTAATTTTTTTTTTTTTTTACATTTTGCTTTGTTTTTTTTTAAGAAAGTAAAAGAAAAATATTTGAGAAAACTATTTAGAAGGAAAAGTTTGGAAAAAGAACAGACAAATGAACAGCATGAAGAAGAAAAGGGTTATGAGAAGAAAAGGAAGAAGCAACAAATTGAATGATAAAAAAAAGAAAGAATAAATGAAACAATAACATGATAGGGAAAATTGGAGAGAGAAGGCAAGGAAAAAGGAAGGGACAGAAAGCAAAAGGAGAAGAAAAGAGAGCAACGGAGACAAAAACAGAGGAAAAGAGAGTGACTGAGAATAAAAGAGAAGGAAGAAAGGGGACGGAGAAGAAGAGACAGGGAAGGAAAGTGACGGAGAAGAAAAGAGAAGAAAAGAGGGTGACCGAGATTAAAAGAGAGGGAAGGAAAGTGACGGAGAAGAAAAGAGGGTGACCGAGACTAAAAGAGAGGGAAGGAAAGGGACGGAAAGTGACAGAGACTAAAAGAGAAGAAAAGAGCGTGACAGATATAAAATTAGAGGAAAAAGACAAAGAAAAAGAGAAGGAATGAAGAAATGTAGAAGAAAAGAAAGAGGCAAAATGATTGGAAATTGTGAAAACAGGGAAGAAATAATGTAAAGAATTAAAAGGCAAAAAATAAAGCATGAAGAGTGTTAACAAAAACAACCCACCCCTATAAATAGCAATAATTTCACCCCTATAGAGACTACGAACAACATTCTTTCTTTCATTCTCTTATTTAGTATTTTTTCCCCTTATCAAATCTCAGCCTTTACACAGGTTGGCAATGTCAACAATGCGTAGAGTTGAACAATCCACTGCATAGAAGGTTTATTAGCCTATGTGATATTGGCAAATCAGGTTAAGTCTGTTTGTGATATCCTTTTGACATAAAAACCAAGTCGATGCCTGTTAACGAATAGATAAAGGTTTTCGCCTTGCTTTTCAATGCATTAAATCGACAAACTCTGGCGCGCTCACACACAGTTTTTCTCCCTCTGCTTTGCATATACGCTGACCTCGTCATAAGAAAAAGCGCATACAAAAGCGAATGGTGTTCAAATATATGCAGTTTCAATTACACACGCGCACACACTCTCACGTCTTCAACCGCTTGCGTATATACACTCAGATGGCGATAATTGTATACAGAAAAGGAAGACACAATGCTAAAAATCGTTGCGTATTTGTTACAGTTAGCATAGGTCAGTGTTCGAGCATTAGTAACAGCTTGGTCTTCGAATGAAGGAAAGTCCTCCTCACTCTGAAGATAAATCAGCATATTATACCTATCTGTTTTAGTATCGTATTCAGTTTATACAAATTGATAATCATCTAATTGTACACAGACACATTAAGTATAAATAACCGCGATATGACTGGATCGTACTCCGTGCTATTGTAATAATAATAATAAAAAAAAAATTCATACATACTATATTTAGTTCTGTGATCGCTGGAATAGTAAAAAATGCCTACTAAAAGCTTAACAAAGTATTAAGAAACAGAAAAATTTAATTAAAAAAAAACAGAAAAAACAAAGAAAATAGTTCTGAATTTCTATGTAATATCAATCTTCCTATATGGTAGTGAATGCTGGGCAATTTCGTCACAGTTGAAGAGGAAACTTGAGGTGACGAAGATATGGTCCTACAGAAGGATTCTGAGAATGCCATAGACTGAACGCGTAAGCAACTCGGAATTTTAAAGAAGAATTGAAATAAAATAGACACTTGTGCTTGAAATGAAAAAGAATTTAAATTTCTGGGGCACGTGACGAAATAAGTCTTGGAGAAATTGGCACTGACTGGGACATATTTAAAGCAAGAGTAGGTAACTCCATGAAATCGCTAAAAATAAGAGCATAGCATGATGAAAAAGACGCTAAACTTGACAAAAACAAAGTTTTATCGTCTAAATGTTTATGTTATTATTAAGAGGAAAGACCAAAGTTTTTTTTTAATTATTTTTTAAAAAATTTCCTTCTTTTTAGAACATTCTAAATTTTGATTAAAAAAAACTTGTTTCTCTGTATCACCGGAACTAGTAAAATAACATATACAATTTTTAGCACGTTTTTTTTTTGTATGACACATTAATTTCGAAAATCTTGCAAAAATAAAAATAATTGTCGGATGTTAATGAAACTTTCAGAAACTATTCACAGATGATAGAAACTATTATAAATATGTTTTTTTTTAATTAGTCATGGCAGAAATATTTTTTATATTTATTACTCCGCACTAACTAATTTTATGAAAACTCTAGAAATTCGATCGAATACAGTGCATTGATTACAATAGTTAAAAGCACAAGTCTTTGAGAAATGCAAATCATGTTTTTTTTTTAATTAGACCCCCTACCTGAAAATCAGCTCTGAATTATAACATACAAAACTCAATAAAACAAAGTTATTATTTAATTTCAAATGCTTTTATTTGCTTTTAGTTGTTTTTATGAATTAAATGAATTTCTAAAATGGTAATATTTTCTGAAAGCAAAAAATTTTTCGATGGAAAATTAATTTTAATACAATTATTTGTTATTTCTTTAATTATAATAGATTTTTACATTTATGTTGATAAAATATTATAAAATTAGTTAAAAGCCGTATCCACTTTCGTAAATGTCCTTATGAGATTCATCCTTTTTTACCACATTGTAAATTGTATCGTTTTGACAAATCAGAATATCCGCAGTAATTAAGAAATGTAATTTTGTGTTTATAATCGGACTGTAATTATAAAGTACGGAAGAACAACCAGAATACAATTAAGTTGCATTATTTGAGTTAAGCATTGTTCTCTGCTGTTAAGGCTTTTACTTTTGCAAAACACGTGTGGAGAAGTTAATTTGATTTTGCAAGTATCTATCATCTTATGAAATTTATATGAACTTATTTTTATATTAATCTCAGTTATGACATTTTCCATAAATGAAATATCAAAATTAATAATAAAATGAAAGGAAATACAAATAACACAGTAAAATGTAATAAATGTACATAAAATTATAGTATTTTATATACACTTTTGATAAAATTTCATAAGAAAGGTACCTATAAATTAATTAGATACCTTTCTTATGAAATTTAATCTTACTCTGAACAGTCTTAATTTAATTTCTTTATAATATATTTTCCATAAAGCATCGTAAACGTAAAGGTGAATGCTAAGTACAAAAAAAAAAAGAAAGAAAAATAGAGCACTGAAAGTTTTCCTTAAAAATAAGGAGGTAAATAATTTGTTCACTTAAATCTAAATAATTTCACTACTCTCCTTCCGTAGAACAAGTTATCCTTACGTAATCCGTCAATACGTCATTCATCACCTGTCAAATGACGCGAAATGTTATGACATGCTTTGTTTTATTTTCAAACCACATCTTTTCGGCGCAGAAGCTAAGTTAACCTTGGTTCAAAATATTTTAAATAAACAATATAATTTCTGATTTTCTTAAAATAAGTTTTGAAAAAAATTATAATTGATTTTTAAAAGAATTTCAAACTGAGATTTTCATTTTTTTATAATGGTTGACATGATCGATTATCTGTCAATTTTGCTGGCTCAAAAAAAAAAAAACAAGATTTTTAACAAAAATTTCGGACGTGCTAGGAACGATTAAAAAATGTAAAAAAATACTCCCCCAAATACTTTGATCTTTCCTCTTAATAATAACATAAACATTGAAACGATGAAATTGATTGATGCGTGATGATGATGATGATGATGATGATGATGATGATGATGATACAAGTGATGTTGATGACTGATGCTCATGGGCGTGATGGTGATGATGACAATGATGATGATACGTCTGATGTTGATGATTGATGCTCAAGGGCGTATTGGTGATGATGATGATGATGATGATGATGATGATACGAGTGATGTTGCTGATTGATGCTCAACGTCGTGATGGTGATGATGATGAAAGATAGATTCTCATTGGTTATCTTAGACTGACACAGAGCGAGAAGTGTAAGTTGCTAATTGTTTAACGAGACATAAAATATCACGTCAGTAGATAATCAATTCCGTTCAGTCTATATCTATTTATTTACGCAATTACGAATCGCTAATGAGTATCATAACAAACCATAAATAATTGGAGCAGATAAAAATTTTATATCATTTGTCAGGAATGGAAAGAAAAAAAAAACTGAATTACTGATATAAAGATCACCACTCTAGACTTCTCCCCGGGGAATAGGGTTTCTTAGGGTCGTACTACCCAACAGACGAGATAAATTTTGTCTTTTCCAGATCAGACACACAACAGTCTATTAATGTGTGGCTCCTCTTCGTCTGAAGAACGGCGGATACGGCAAGTAACCTTTGAGATCCTGAAGTCATTACGCGGATATATATATATATATCCAGGTAGCTTCCAGAGCTCTCCAAAACAGATGTATTTGTTGGGGTGGGGATACCGTGAAATAAGCAAAGTCTCTAATATGCCCCATACATATTTAATCTGGAAAACAAGTGTAGAAGTTGGATAATAAAGAACCTTGATATCATTTTTCGTGCCCCACCTAAAAAACTAAGATAAAATAGCGAGTATAAAGAGATGCAGTATGATTTTGCAAGGCTTTACAAGGCCCTGGGGCCACTCGAGGTAGAAGGTTGCGTTAGGAGATAGATTGTACGAATAGGAGGGGAAGATAATAGTTAATCCTAGACTTGAAAAGGTTATGATTGTAGCGATTGGGGAAACATCCTCTTGGGAGTCGGTTTCACAGAGCAGTAGTTCGGTGGCGGGGGATACAGAGGGAATGTCGGTGGTTTGCTACAATGTAAGGGGCATGATGGGTACTGGCCGTGAAGTTGAGAACAAGCAGAAGCAAAGAATGCGGTTTGTCAGAGCACTTTCCGTGAAAGTACCGACAGAGCAGTGAGGCGCTTGCCATATTCCGCCTGTGAGTGAGAAGATGATGGTGGAAAAAATTCGTCACGTACAAGGACTCGAAGATGCTTTTGAAGTCTATCGTAGCTGGAAAGTGCGGACTGACCAACTCGCAGCCAAATATGACAACAGAACTCAATTCTTGGCCTGGTCTGACTCACGTACAGTTACAGGATAGCATATGGAGTCAGGTACTTACTGGAACGATACAAGGAGCCAACATCTTTAGTGATGGCTCGTATGTACAAGTTCCACTTGAGATTAGGTGCGATTTTAAGGCCCAATAATCTTTCAAGGCACTGTACATCTCCGAGGGGACACCCGTTCATCGTGACTGGCGGTAGTTCGGGGTCCGATAGGCTATGGTGAGCCACCTGTGATCCTTGGGAACGTCAAATTCCGCACCGTTGTATGGCTATCGCTGGCTGGATCCGTATCAATTTGGCTACAAAGGACATGGTTCAATTTAATGCTTTTCATTTCCAATATTTACGGTAATTATTAGCGGGAATCTGCAGAAATTTCGCAGTGTTTTTATTTTCACATTGGAGTTTTATACAGCAGTGAACTTGAAGTGCACATGCCATTTGATTCATTCACAACTACTTTAAACACTTCATCAAGCTAATTGCATCAGGTCATTTATATAAAAGAAACAGCGAAAGTGCAAAAACAGTGTTTTAAAGCCTCAGCTTTTTTCAAATAAGTTTTTATGACATCGATTTCCTTTAAAACTA